CACATGCACAGCATACACACACACAGAGCACACACAGAGCACACACACAGAGCACACACACGGAGCACACACACGCACACATGCACAGCATACACACACACAGAGCACACACAGAGCACACACACAGAGCACACACACGGAGCACACACACGCACACATGCACAGCATACACACACACAGAGCACACACAGAGCACACACACACGTGCACAGCACACACGTGAACTGAGCACAGCCCCCACAGAGCACACACACACCTGTGCACACACCTCTACACCCCCCCAGCTTCTGTCCGTGGGGGTCCCACTGTGACACCGCACAGACACACATGGGTACCCCCCCCGGACCCAGCCTCCCCCCGGCTTCATGCAGGGGACCCACCATTCAACCCCCCCATCCCACCCCTCCATCCCACCTCCCCAGTCTGTCCCCTCTGGGGGCCCCTTGGTGGGGGGGGGGCCTGAGGCCCCCAGGACGGTGCTGGGGAGGGCCCGTGAGCCCCCCACCCCGACACGGAGCTCCCCACGCGTTTGGACCCCAAAGGGACTCCAAAAACTGCCCCGCGGCCGCCTGCGTGGGGCTGACCCCCACCGGGGGAGGGTCCCTGTGCATGGGGGGGGTCTGTTCCCCCTGTGCCCCCCCCCGCGTCCCCCCTTCCCCGCTCTCCCCCGCCCAGGAATGTGCACACTCACCCCCCCCTTGCACACTCACCCTCCTGCGGGTCCCCCCCGCCCCTGGCCGCCTCCCCGCCCCCGCCGTGCCCGGAGCCGTCGAGCGGGGCGGGCGGAGCGGGGCCGTGCGGGGCGGGTGCGGTGCGGGCGGCGGCACCGGCGGCAGGTACCGGAGAGGGGGGATTGGTGTGGGGGGGTGGTGTTCCACCGAGGGCCCGGGGCCGAGGGTCCCCCAAGAGGGGCACGGGGGGGGCCCAGAGAACCGCCCCGGGTGGTGCTGCCCAGCCGCTCCCGGGGCAAGGGGGTCCCGCTCCCGGGGTCCCGCTCTCGGGGGTCTTATTCGCGAGGGTCTCATTCCCAGGGGTCCCGGTCCCGGGGGTCCCTCTCACGGACAACTTGGGGAGAAGTTGCCCCGCGCGCTGTGGCGAATCCTCCCCGGCTCTATTTCGGTTCCATTCTGGCTTCGGTCGCGGGTCCTTCCCGGCTCCATCCCGGCTCGTTCCCGGCTCCACTCCCGGGTCCTTCCCAGCTCCATCCCGGCTCCGGTTACATCACCAGCTCCAACACCGGCTCCGGTCCCGGCTGCTGCTGCAGAAGCTCCACTCTCCGCTCCCGGCTTCGCTCCCGGCTCCGCTCCGGTACCATCGTCGGCTCCGGCTTCATTCCCTTCAGCAGCGCCGGTTCCGGCTCCACCCGCAGCTCCGGCCCCGCTCCCGGTCCCAGCGTTGGGAACAGCCACAGCCCCGCTCCCGGTCCCATCTCCGGCTTCCCCCGCAGCTCCGCTCCCGGCCCCGTCCCCAGCCCCATTCCTAGTCCAATCCCTGCTCCCGATCCGTCCTCGGCCCCATCTCAGCTCTCGGTCTCATCCCCACTCCTGATCCCATCCTCGGCCCCATCCCTGCCCTTAGTCCCATTCCTACCTCCACCCGCAGCTCCAGCCCCGGCCTCGGCTGCTGTCCCCATCTCCATCCCCATCCCTGTCCTCATCCATATCCTTGTTCCCTTCTCCAGCCCCATCTGAGCACCGTTTCTGTCCCCATCCCCATTCCTGTCCCCATTTCCAGCCCCGTTTCTGTCCCCATCCCTGTCCCTATCCCTGCTGTTGTTCCCACTCCCATCCCCTCTCCCAACTCTGCCACCATCCCCATCCTTGTCCCCATCCTCGTCCCCATCCCTGTCCTCATTCCTGTCCCCAGCCCCATCTCCAGGCCCGTTTCTGTCTCCATCCCTGTCCCCATTCCTGCTGCTGTTCCTACTCCCATCCCCTCTCCCATCCCCTCTCCCAACCCCACCACCATCCCCATCCTTGTCCCCATCCCTGCTGCTGTTCCTACTCTCATCCCCTCTCCCAACCCCGCCACCATCCCCATTCCTGTCCCCATCCCGGTCCCCATCCCTGTCCCCATCCCTGCCTCTATTCCCATCCCCAATCCCACTCCCATCCCCTCTTCCCCCGCCCTCCCCGTGCCCTGATTGCCCCGGGGGCGTCCCCTGCGCGCCCCCCGCTATCGCCACCATCGCCCCCAAGGGCGAGCAGGACCTGCTGGCCGTGGCCGCGTCCCGGCTGCGGCGGCGGCGGCGGGTGGCCGGGGTGGCCGCGGGCGTGGCGATGGTGCTGGTGCTGTTGGTGGCCATCCCGCTGCTCGTGCACAGCTCCAAGGCGGCCGCGCACTACGAGATGCTGGGGAGCTGCCGCATGGTCTGCGACCCCTACCCCGAGCCGCCCCCCCCGGCCTCCCCGCAGCCCCCCCCGGGCCGCCGGGGCCGCGCCGGAGCGCGGGGACCTCCCGGTCCCCCCGGCCCACGGGGACCTCCGGGCGAGCCGGGGCGGCCGGGCCCGCCGGGACCCCCGGGGCCGGGACCCGGGGGGTACATCCCGTCCTTCTACAGCCCCAAAATCGCCTTCTACGCGGGGCTGCGGAAGCCCCACGAGGGCTACGAGGTGCTGCGGTTCGACGACGTGGTGACCAACGTGGGCAACTACTACGAGCCCTCCAGCGGCAAGTTCACGTGCCCCCTGCCCGGCATCTACTTCTTCACCTACCACGTCCTCATGCGCGGCGGGGACGGCACCAGCATGTGGGCAGACCTCATGAAAAACGGGCAGGTAACGCGGGGAGAGACCCCCGAGACCCCCGGGCCCCCCCTGCCCTCTGCCAGCCCCATGTCTCTCTGTATGCTCCCCCTCCATCCCAGTTTTCCTCATCCAGGTTTTCCTCATGCCGGTTTTCCCACCCAACTCGTGGTGCCTCGGTTTCCTTGTTTACACCCGTCCCGTTTTTTTGTTTACACCCATCCCGTATTTCCTGGTTTGGTTTTCCTTAATTTTAGCTCTCCCAGCCTGATTCTCTCCCATTCCTGATTCCCCATCCCGGTTCTGCTCCCCCCCAAAATCCCCACATCCCATTTCCCCCATCCAATCCATGCTCCCCCATTTCCATCCTCTCCCCCCAGAATTTCCATTCTCTCCCCCTCCATTCCCGATTCCTCACCCCCAGTACACTCCCCTCCAAATCCCCACATCCCATTTCCCCCATCCAATTCCCATACACTCCCCCCATTCCCGATTCCATCCCTGGTTCCTCCCTCCCAAGTCCCCACATTCCATTTTCCCCATGCAATCCCACCCCCAGTTCCTATCCTGCTTCCCCCCTCCCTGATTCCCCATCCCCAGTTCTGCTGCCCCTCAAATCCTCACGTCCCATTTTCTCCATCCAATTCTCCCCAATTCCCTCTTCCTCTCACTCCCAATTCCCCATTCCCAGTTCCTCCCTCCCCCAGATCCCACATTCCCCCATCCAATACCCCCCAGTTCCCATCTCGATTTTCTCTCACTCCTGATTCCCCATCTCCAGTTCCTCCCCCCTTCCCACATCCCATTTCCACCATCCACTTCTCCCCCAACATCTATCCTTTCCCCCACATTCCCGATTCCCCATCCCCAGTTCCTCCCACCCCCAGAATCCTCATCCCATTTCCTCCATCCCATTTCCCTCATCTAATCCCACCCAATTCCCATCTTCTTCCCCCATTCCCAATTCCCCATTTCCAGTTCCTCCCTCCCAAGTCCCACATCCCATTTTCTCCATCCAACCCCCCTAGTTCCCACCCTCTCTCCCCCCTCCATCTGCTCCCACCCTGTTCCCCCTCTGGTACCACGGGAGGGGGTGACACCCCCCCATCCCCCCCTCAGCCTTGGGGTCACAACCTCCCCATTCCTGGGAGTCCTGCCACGGGGGCCAGGGGGCCACAATCCCCTGGGAATGCTGGGCTTGGAACTTGTGGGACATGGGGGGGCTGTAGGGGGTCACCGGAACACCCCCTGCACGGGGGGGTCGGTGGCTGTGCCCCCCTGGCCAGTCCCTTTGTTTGCTCCCGAATGGCCTCACCCCAGGACTCTTCCCATCCTTTTATTCCGGGAAAAATAAGGATCGATCCAAGGTGGTCGATGTCCCCCCAGGACACCCCCCCAAACCGAGCTGTCCCCATGTCCCCCCGGGCATCCCTGGTCCGAGGAGGGGCTGCACAGGAGCCTGGGAGGGTCCCGTGCTCCTGGTCACCGTCCTTGGAGCCTGCCCTGGAGGGGGGTGTCTCCCTATCACCCTGTGGGACCCCCGGGGTGTCCCTGTTATCCTGTGGGATTCCGGTGGTGCGGGAGGAGCTCTACCCAGGTGTTCCCAGGTGTCTCCAGGTGCCTCCCCGTCCCCCCCGGTTACACTCGTGGCCCGGGGGGACATCGGCTCTGCCTCATCCGGACACCGTGACCTTGAGCGCCCCGCGGGGGTCCCGAGCACCTCATCCCCCATTCCCTCGTGGATGGGGGGTAGTCCCTGACCCCCGTGCCCCCCCAAGGTCCGTGCCAGCGCCATCGCGCAGGACGCGGACCAGAACTACGACTATGCGAGTAACAGCGTCATCCTGCACCTGGACGTGGGCGACGAGGTGTTCGTGAAGCTCGACGGGGGCAAAGTGCACGGGGGCAACACCAACAAGTACAGCACCTTCTCCGGCTTCATCATCTACCCCGACTGACCCCCCGGGACGGGGAGGGGGCTCGGGATGCTGGGACAGGGGTCCTGCCCTCCGCTGCTGTCCCTGCCCCAGGACCCGCACCCCCTCTCATAAAACCCATAAAACTACCCCAAAACCACCCCAAAAATACCCCCAAGTCCAGCACCTTCTCCGGCTTCATCATCTACCCTGCCTGACCCCGCCTCGTGACGTGGGGAGGGGGCTCAGGGAGCTGGGATGGGGTCATGCCGCCCACCCCCCGCAGCGCCCACCTGTAAAAAGCATCGTAACGTCCCGAAAATACCCCCAAACCGCCACCCCCCCCCGCATGCCGCCACTCTCGAGGGGGGAAGGGGGTCCCAGTGTTGTCACCCCACCCCTGGGATACCCCTGGGACACCCCCGGGCCCCGCGTGTGGTCTGTTCCCCCCCGCCCCAATAAAACGCTCTGGGTTTGGAGCTGCGGCTGCTGATTTGGAGAGGGGGAGAGAGTGTCTGGGGACAGAGGGGACACCTGGGGACACCTGGGGGGAGGCGGGGACCCCCAGGGGAGTCCAGGGGACACATGGGGACACCTGAGGCAGCTGGAGACAGAGGGATACCTGGGGGCAGGGAGGACACCTGGGGACACCTGGGAATAGAGGGGACACGTGGGGACACCTGGAGACAGAGCGGAACCCCAGGGGGGTCTGCGGGACACAGGGGGACACCTGGGGACGCCCCTTTACGGTGACCACGCCCCATCACAATGATCACACCTCCTTTGCTGTGACCACGCCCCTCACACCACTGACCCCCTCCGTTCCCACCGCCCTCCCCTCTATGCGCGTGCGCACCCGTGCCTCGCTATTGGCATAAAACCCACAGCTCCCGTGATGCCTCACTCGGAGGGCGGGGCCGGGGGTGGGGCCGAGCGCTGATTGGCCGTCGCGGAGATTTGAACGCGCGCGCGGCGCGAGGTGCCCCCTGGCGGCCGAAGAGGAGCGGCCGCGGAAGGTGAGCGGAGGTTTGGGGGGTCCTGGGGGGGAGATCGGGGGGGCCGCGGGGGGCCGGGGGGGCCGGGGAAGGTGGCTGGGGGAGCCGGGGAAGGTGGCTGGGGGAGCCGGGGAAGGTGGCTGGGGGAGCCGGGGAAGGTGGCTGGGGGAGGGGGTTGGTGAGGAGGAACCAGGGGGCAAAGAGGGGGGGAAAAGGCCTGAAGGCAGCGGGGTGCGGGGAGTTGGGTTATCCTGAGGGGAGATCGGAGGTCCTGGGACCCCCTCAGAGGGCTGAGGGTCCCGGGGGTCCTCGGGAGGGGGGCTGTGAGTGGGAAGGGGCAAAAGGGGGCGGGAGGAAGGCCTGAGGGGCTGCAAAAATGGGAGGGATTTGGAGGGATTTTGGGAGGCCCTGAAGGGGAAATTAGGGGGCCTGATATTGGGGCTGGGGGCCTGAGGATGTGAGGACTGGGGGGGGGCTGTGAGTTTTGGGGGTTTGTGAGCTCGAGGGCGGCTGTGGGGGTCCCACACCTTCCCCTGCCTCCCCCAGCCCCACATCACTTTGGAAGCCCCTTGGAAACACCCCAGGATGGATGGGAAGGAGAAGGGGGACAACATCGAGGAGAGGCTGGAGAAGCTGAGGGTGAGCTGGAGGTCCCTCCCTGGGGAGGGGGCTCTGGGCTGGAGGCTGGGTCCCTTTTTTTTCCTAGGAAAACCTCTGAATCCTGCTGGGGGACTCTTGGGGGGTCTCTGAGCTGGGATATGGGGTCTTAACCCCCTTATCCCCAGGAAACCCTCTGGATCTCACTGGGACCCACCAGCTGTGGGTGAGCTGGGGGACTCTCACGGGGAACCTCAGGAGGCTCTGGGTTGGGTTTGGGGGGTCTGACTCCCTCATTTCCCCCGAAAAGGACATTCAGAGGGGCTCTGGATCCCTCTGGCAGACCCCCTGACTGGCTCTGGGCTGGGGACTGGGGCTCTGACTCGCTCTTTCCCCCAGGAAATGACCCTCGGGGGGCTCAGGGCTGGGTTCTAGGGATCTTGACTCCCTCATCCAGGGGTCTGAGTCCCTGTCTCCCCTCAGGAATCCCTGCAGATCCCCCCGGGAGTGCCCCCCCCATCCCGGCAGCGGCGGCTCCAGACGTGTGACCGTGTGCTCCGATCGTGTGTGGAGCAGCTGGGCCGGGAGGGTCCCCCCTCCTTTGGAGCCCCCCTCATGGCCCTGGCCCAAGAGGCTGCCAGGGGCTACCTCAGCTTGGTCCCGAACCCCCCGGACCTGTACTTGGAGAAGATCCTCTTCCACTTGCTCAGGAACGCCGTGAATTCCTGCTGGAGGACCGGGAATTCCTGCTGGGCTGCGGCTGAGCTGCTGCGGGAGCAACTGCGAACCTACACCCCCCTCCAGGACCCCCCCAAAGACTTCACCACTGTCACCTACAACACCTTCTGTGTCCTCTGGAAAGGGGCAGCGGCCCTGGCAGGGCCTGACCGGCCTCGGGAAGAGGGAAGATCCCTGTTTTCTGCCCAAATCCGTGCCCTGCGCTTCCTGCTGCTGCTGGAGCGGGACGGGGGGTCTCTGCCCCCTCTGCAGCCCCCCTTCTTCACCTCCCAGACAGCCCAAAAGGCAGCAGCAGCCTCTGCCCTCTATGAGGCCGAGAGGGCTCCCTGCCCTGTGTTCCTGGCCCGGCAGCTCCGGGAATTCCTCCTGGAGACTCTCCGGGAGGAAGCCCCAAATCCTCCAGGGATCCAACACTCCCTGTGCTTCCTAGAGCTCACCCTGGAGTGCTCCAGGCACCTCTGCAGGGCTGGCAGGTTCCACGAGGCCCTGGAGGCCCTGGAGGAGGCCAAGGCATTCCTGGGGCGCTCCAGGGAGGATTTGGGGGCCCCCCTGGTGCTACTGGAGGCCGGGATCCATCTGGGAAAGGGGAGGTCCCCCCCAGGGCCCCTGCTGTCCCAGGCAGCTGCAGCCCTGAGGGGGGAGGGCTCAGAGAGGACCCTCAGGGTGCTGCTGGAGGGGGCCCAGTTTGTGACGGCCCAGCTCAGGGAGGTGACGAGGAGGAGTCGGGAGCTGCCCTTCAGCCTCGAGGACCTGCCCGGGCTCTGTGCCTTCACCGAGGGGCATTGCTGGGCCCTGCAGCGGCTGCTCAGCAGGGTGAGGGACTGGGGGGGCTGGGAGTGGGTCTGGGGGCAGCTGTGGGGGGGTGTAACCCTGTTTTGGGGTTGGGGTTCACTTTGTGTGAACCCTCTGTGTCCCTCTCCGGTGTTCGTGTCACCAGGAGCAGCTCCAGGAGCTCCTGAACCCCCAAATCCCACTTCCCTCCTTCCCTGCCCTTCCCAGGTCCATCCCAGCAGCTCCCAGAGATCTTGCAGCTCCTGATCCCCATTTTTCCCATTCCCAGGTCTATGCCTGTTCCCATTCCCAGCTCCTGGAGCTCCTGCCCTCCCTGAACACTTCTTTCCCCCCCCAGGTGCCCCCCGATGCCCTCAAGCAGCAGGTAACGGTGAAGCAGCTCCTGTTCCGGAGCCTCCAGCTCTTCTCCAACACCATCCACGACACCTTCCAGGGCTCCCAGGTACCCCCAGGATGGACCCCCAGGACCCCTGGGGTTGGAAGGGGGGCTTCAGTGGCCCTGACGGGGTTCTGGGAGTGCTGGGATCTTCTCCCTTTGTTGGTGGGGTTGGAAAGGGGAGTTTGGTGTGCTCAGGATAAGACCCTTGGGGTGCTGGAAGCACCTTGGGGTTGGAAGAGGGGGCTGGAGGTGCCCTGAAAGTTCTGGAAGCTTCTCCCCTCCTTGGTGGGGTTGGAAAGGGGGGCTCAAGGTGCCCTGGGGGTGGTTCTTTGGGGGCTGTGGAGGTGACCCCTTTGCTGACCCCCCTGTCCCTTCAGCCCTCAGGGTGGCTGGGGCTGGCCCAGGTGAGCAGGAGCTGCACCCGGAGCGTGACCTGGATGGTGGAGGCTCTGGGGGGGCTCCCCGAGACCGACAGGGCCAAGTTCCTCGATGTCACCGGTCAGTGCCACCAAGGGGGAGCCCTTGTCCCTGTCCTGGGGGACTGTCTCTGCACAGCTGGGAGGTCTCAGTCCCCTTGTGGGTGGGGAGGGGGCTCTCTCAGTGACTTTGGGGGTCCCTCTCCCCACAGCCTCGTGCACCTTCAAGTTGGGCTTCGCCTTCCAGAGCCGGAACTTTCTGGAAGAGGCCGGAACCATCTGCGAGCCCTTCTGCAGGGGGGTGGGGGAACTGGGGGGCTATGGCTGCCCTGACACCCCCCCAGAGAGGGTACGGGGGGCTGGGAATGGAGGGGTGACACTGGAGGGGTTTGGTCCTGGAATAGCCCCTATTCCCAGCTCCGAGCAATTCCCTTGTCCTGGGTGGGACAGGATGGTCTCAGTGAAGGGAGAGAGGATGGGACCAGCTTTTCCTCCTGGAATAACCCCAAATCCCAGCCCTTCCCTTGTTCCAGGGTGGGAAGGGAGACATGAGATTATCCCAGTGAGGGGAGGAACTGAGAGGATAGGAATGGCTTAGCCTCTGGAACAGCCCCAATTCCCAGGTTCCCTTCTCCCAGGTGGGAACGGGATACAGGGATGATACTGGGATTCCTACCGGTGACGGGAGGACTGGAGAGGATGGGACCGGGTTTTCCTCCTGGAACAATCCCAGTTCCCACCTCCCAGCCCTTCCCTTGGCCCAGGGCAGGTTGAGGGGGATACAGAACCCCTGGAATTCCCTCCCCACACACCTATTCTCTCCTTGTCCTCCCACAGCTCCACAAGTGTTTCCGGATGCAGGTGGAGAGCTGGAAGCGCCTGGGGCGGCCGGAGCAGGCTCTGGGCTCAGTGACCACGTGGCTCCTGGCCCTGGCTCAGCCTGGGGGACCCCTGGCCCAGCCTGGGGGGGTCCTGAGGGCCCAGCCCGGGGGGCTCCTGCACGAGCCCGTGGGACTCTGGGCCAGGATCAAATCGGAGGCGGCCAAACAGGGCCGGGAGGAGCTGCGGCTGCGGTGAGGGGGAACTGGGGGGCTGGGAGGGACTGTGGTGGGGACTGGGAGCTGCTGGGAGTGTGGTGAGGCCCTGCAATGGATTTCCCAGAGGATGCCCCATCCCTGGCAGGAGCTGCCTGGGATAGTGGAAGTTCTCAAGGCAGAGGGTGGGATGGGATGAGCTTTAATGTCCCTCCCAACCCAACCCACTCCATGAATCCATGAAAACAATGGGATTTCTTCCCCCAGGACCCTCAGGGACTCCCTGGAAGGCCATTCCCTGGACAGGGCCACCCTGGTGTCCCTCCTGTTGGCCGAGCTCCAGGCTTACAAGTGCCTGAAGTGGGACACAGGGCCAGAGCGTTACAACGTCCTGTGTGACCTCCTGGACCTCTGCCCCGAGGACCCCAGGGGGCTCCTCCCGAGGGCTCTGGGGCTCCTGGAGCTGGCCCAGGTCCTGTGCTACCACAGCTTCGCCCCCCACACTGACTGGTGGGTGCCCTGGGACCACTCCCACCCCAAATGCCCCCCCGGGAGTGGTGGAGGCACCGGAGGGTTTCGGGTTTGGGGTTTTGGGGAGAGGGTTGGTGGGTCTGGGGTGGGGGAGGGTGTTGGAGGGGGGAGAAGGGTTTTTTTGGGACCCTGGTGGGGTAGGAAGAGCTTTTCCAGGACAGATGAGAAGGTTGGGAAGGGTTTTTTGGAACTCTGATGGGTTGGGATGAGCTTTTCCAGGCCCATCTTGTTGAGTGTCCATCTGGGAACAGGTTTTTTGGGATCCCCTGTCCCTGTTTGAGGTCTCTCAGCCCCATGGTGTTTCTTTGGGGTCCTGGGGTGTTTCCCTCCCTCTCCTGTGGATCTCCAGAGGTTTTTGGGGCTGTTCCTGATCCCCCCTGTGGATCTCCAGGGATTTTTGGGGCTGTTCCTGATTCCTTTGTGGAGTTCCAGGGATTTTGGGAGGGTTTCCTGACCCCTTTTCCTGGCAGCTCCGCGCTGGACGCGATCCGGGAGGCCCTGAGGCTGCTGGAAAAGGTGCCCCAGAATTCCCAGAACCGGGATCAGCTCCTGGATGAGAAGGCCCAGGCCCTGCTCTGGCTCCACATCTGCACCCTTGAGGCCCATATGGAAAAGGTTTTGTGGATCAGGGGCTCGAAGGGGCTGTTTTTTCCCAGGATTTCAGAAAATCCCGGAGGTCTGGGTGTGTCCTGGACCCATCCAGAGCCTCCTGTGGTGTCCCAAATTCCCAGGGCATGGAGAGGGAGCAGAGGGGGAGGACCCAGGGCAGCAGGAACCTGGAAGAGTTTGAGCCCAACGACCTGAATGCCGAGGGAAGGGCGGGAGAGGAGCTGGATCCACAGGATGGGATCAGCTGCACCCTGGACACTGACAGGGGTGAGGGGGCTGGGGCTGGGGGACCAGGAGGGGGTTTTCTGGGACCTTGGAGGGGTGGGAAGAGCTTTTCTTTTGGGAAGAGCCAGGTGTCAGCCTGGGAATCCTCCTTTTGGCCCCACCTGGCTCTGTCCAAGCTCTCTTAGCCCCTTGGTGTCCCCTCAGCTCTGACCAAAAGCCTGGATGAAGCCTTTTCTCTATGGAAGCAGCTCCTGGAATCCCCTGGAATTCCCTGTGTTCGGAGCCTGGAACAAACCGTGACCTCCCTGCACCTCCTGGCCACCCTCTACAAGCTCCTGGCCAAGGTGAGACCCCCAGGACCACCGGGAGACCCCCTAGGAGGTGGCTTTGGGGTGTAACCAGTGGATTTTGTGCTTCCCAGCCCATCCAAGCCCTGGAGAGTTTCCTGCTGCTCCGATCCTTGTGCCGGAGCCTCAGTGACACTCCCGGCGCTGCCTGGGCCTTGTCCCACCTCACCCGCCTGCTCCTGCAGCTGGAATGTCCCACCCATGCCCAGGTGAGCCTGGAACGACCCTCTGGAATGATTTAGTTGATCCCTGAGGTCCTGGTGTTCATCCCAGTGTGGCATTCCCAGGTTTTCCTGGAGGAGCTGGAGTGTATGCCACAGGAATTCCCAGCAGCTCCTCCAACATCCTGGGAATGACCAGGTTGGGATTTGGATAATGCCTGAGGTCCTGGTGTTCATCCCAGTGTGGCATTCTCAGGTTTTTCTGGAAGAGCTGGAGTCCATCCTGAGGGAATTCCCAGGTGGAGATGAATCCCAGCAGCTCCTGCAACATTCCTGCCTCCTGCTCCGGAGCCACCTGTGTTGTGTCAGCCAAAAAGTAAAGCTAAAAGGGCTCCTTTTTGCCCCAAAAGTTGTGGGAAGAGGGAGTTTGAGGGGTGCAGAGACCCCCCAAAAGTAGGACAGGAGGGAATTATGGATGTGGAGGACCCATGCAATCCCTGAATCCCGATTTTTCCTAGGTGGAGGAGGGGCTGTCCCTGCTCCTGCAGGTTCTCCAGAGCCCCCTGGCCCAAAAGGCCACCAAGGGCTGGTACCTGCTCCAGGCCCAGGGGCTCCAGGTGGTGGCCACATACCTGGGAATGGCCCCTGCACACCTGGATCCAGAGCTCCGGCACCGGCTGCACTGGAAAGGTGGGACTGGCGGGGTGGGAGTCACCCCTGGGGGAGGATGGAGGGGGGGGAGGGGGGATGGAGGGTCCCAGGGGGGTTTTGGGGAGAGGATGGAGGGTCTTGGGGGGGACGCAGGGAGAGGGGAGGAGGGTCCCAGGGGGTCTCTGGGGGGATGGAGGGTCCTGGAAAGGTTTAAACTCTGAGATTTTGAGGATGACGAGGAGGAATGGCGGGAGTTTGGGGGTGAGGAAGAGAAGGATGGAGGGGGTTTGAGGATAAGGAGGAAGGGGGAGTTGGAGGATGAGGAGGAAAGTTCGATTTGAGGAGGAAGAAGAGGGTTTGGTGTGAGGAGGAGGGAACTTGGAATAAGGAGAGGGAATTTTGGGGGTGTCTCCATGCTAGAGGGGCAAGGAAGGGCGTTCCTTGGTGCTGACCCCCCTCCCAACCCCCCCAGGCTGGAAGACCCCCAAGGTGGCCCTGATGGAGGTCCAGAAGCTCCTTCGCAGTGTCATCATCTTCCTCCTGGGCTTTGACATCCTGGGGGGCTCCCGGAGCAACGAGGGGGCAGAGCAATTCCAGGACTATGGTGAGAGGGGAGGGAGGACCCTCTGGAATGGGGTAGGATCCCTGGAAAGGATTGGGAGCCTCTGGAATGAGTTGGGTTCCTTGGGAGGGGTCAGGACCCTCTGCAGTGAGTTGGGCTCCTCCAGGGAGGACCTTGAGCCTTTGGAAGAGCTCAGGCTTCCCCTGGGCCAGATCCATCCCCTCCCTTTGCCCCCTCAGGTGCCAACGTGGTGCTGAAGTGGGAGGTGCTGGGGGAGGCCCTGTGGTGCTGTGAGCGCCTGGTGACACTGCTGGGCCAGGCCGAGGTGCTGTGCCGGGCCAGGGCCTTCTGTGGGGAGGCCCTCAGGCTGTCCGGGCTCCTGCAGGGCACACGGTGGTGAGCTGAATCCCTGGGATCCCTGGGGCTGGGAACGGGATCCCTGGGGCTGGGAACGGGATCCCTGGGGCTGGGAACGGGATCCTTGGGGCTGGGAATGGGATCCTTGGGGTTGGGATCGGGAATGGGATCCTCGGGGTTGGGAATGGGGCCTTGTGATGGACCAGGGCCTTCTGCAGAGAGACCCTCAGGCTGTCCGGGCTCCTGCAGGGCACACGGTGGCGAGTCCTGGGGTTGGGATCCTCGGGGTTGGGAATGGGGGGAAAATGGGACTAAAGAACAGGATTGGCAAAACCATGACACTAAACCTGAGGGGTCTTTGGTGAGATCTGGGGGGTCTTTGGCAGAGTCTGAGGGGTCTTGGGAGGTCTGAGGGATCTTTGGGGGGGTCTCAGGGGTCTTTTGGGGGTCTGAGAGTATCTGGGGCATCTGAGGGGTCTTGTGGGGGGTCTGAGGGGTCTCTTCCCCATCCCTTTTCCAGGTGCACGTCGTTCCTGCTGCTGAAATCCCAGCTGGAGCTGCAGCAGGGGGAGCTGGAGCTGAGCCAGCTCAACCTCCAGCACACCCTGTTCCTGCTGCAGCCCCACCAAGGTGAGACCCCTGGGATGCAGGGGGGGACCCCTGAGCTTGGGGGGACCCTGGGGGTCCCCAGTTTTGGGATCTGCCTCGGGATCCTTCCTGGATCCAGTGCTGGAGCACCCAGGGGTTGACCTTGAGCTGGGCGAGTTTGGGATTCAGGTTGGATCCTTGGGCTGGAGGACCCCAAATATCCCTCCCTTCCATCCAGAGTTTAAATCCAGAAAGGAGAGTGTTGGATCCAGGTTTCTCAGGCTGAAGGACCCCAAATTAACCCTCCCTTCCCTTTCAGAGCCCAAACCCCCCCAGGAGCCCTTGCTCCCACCCAAGATCCACCCGAGGAAGGGCCACATGGAGCCAAGGAGGCGCTGGGACCACCCCAGAAACCCCTCGGGGGAGGAGGACGAGGGGTTCCTAAAGGGCCCTGCCCTGGAATTCGTGGCTCCTTCAAGCTCCCAGGACCCTCTGAGTGCCCTCACAGCCTCCCCTGAGCTGAAACCCGGGAAGAAGATGAGCCTGGCCTTCCTCTCCCACCCCTGGAGCTGCCCCTGCTGCCTCTGCTCAGACCTGGTGGTGTCGGTGCTGGGCCTGCGCTGGGCCCTGGCCCAGGCCCGGGGCCGGGTCCTGGCAGGGGAAGGGGCTGCGGGGGTGGCCCTGGTGAGGAGGGTCCTGCCCCGCTGTGCCAGGGTGGGCCACAGGTTTGCCAGGGAGCTCGGCCACAGGCTGGGGGGGCACCGCGGAAAAGGGGAGCCCCTCGGGGACAGGGACTACCCCAGGAACCAGGACTTCTCTGGGAATGGGGACCCCACCAGGGACAGGGACCCCCTTGGGAACCAGGACCTGGGATTGCAGGACCCCTTTGAGGACCAAGACCCTGCTGAGAACTGGGATCTGCCCACCCTGGACCCCCAGAACCCCCCCAGAACGAGACCCCAGCCCACCCTGGGCCTGCTGGACGAGCTGGTGGCCATGGGCTACTCCACGCTGGCCCTGCAGAGCCTGAGTGGCACCGGGGGGCTCTGGGACCCCCAGGATGAGGAGCTGGAGTGGGGATTGACCTTCCTGGGGTCCTGCAGCCCCCACCTGCCCAGCCTGGGGGTCTCCAGGGCCACCCTCCTGCTGGCTAAGGCCATGGCCACCCTTGGCCACCTGGCCACCAAACTGGGCCTCTCTGTGGACGATGTCCTTGCCCAGGGCTGGACTCTCCAACTACAGCCTCCCCCTCCAAAAAAGACCCTGAAAGACTCCAAGGCTGAACCCCAAAAGCACAAACCCGCCCCCCCCAAGGCCAGGGGGGTGAAGCCCCGTGGGGTGGAACCCTCCAAGGAGAAGCCCCCCAGAGTGAAGCTCCCCAGGGTGAGCCCCCCCAGCCCCCAGGACGTGTTTGCTCCGGGGGACTTGGACTCTGAGGTTGTGCCCCCCATTGCCATCAGGGGGCCCTGCACCCCCCACCCCAAAGCTTTTCCCTCCTTCCCGGGGCTCCCCGGCCTCCCCAGGACCCCCTTCACCATCTACAACGAGGCCTCACCCCCTCCTTGCAAGGCCCAGCTGAGCAGAGCCCCCAGAGCCCAGGGGAGGGTCAAGTCCCGCCTGAAGGTCAGTTTTTGGGGGGATTTTGGGGCAGGGAAAGTTGGGAGGGAAGGATTGGGGTGAAAAGTTTTGGGGGGGAAGTTTGAAGGATGGAAATTGGGGGGGAAAAGTTTGAGGAAGGAAAGTTTGGGGGTAAGCTTGGGAGGAAGTTTGAGGAGGGAAGGTTTTGAAAGGGGAGAGGTTGAGATGGGAAGTTTGAGGGGGGGGAAGAGGTTGGA